TGTAGTGTCCTAACCTCACAACAACACCGCTGTAGTGTCCTAACCTCACAACAACAACATCACAGCCTTATGAGTGAGAAAGCAAGACAAATAAGGAATAACAGATAGCAAAGAGAAGAAGAGGTGGAGGAAGATGGAGACAAGAGGAGGCAAAAAGGAGAAGAAGAGGTGGAGGAAGAGGGAGACATGAGGAGGCAAGGAGAAGTGAGGAAAGAGGGGAGAAGGGGACAAGGAGAACGTGATACTGAGAGAAAGACGTGAATGAGGGTGAGAGAAGTGAGAAGAAGAGAAGGAAGAAAAAGAGAAGAAGGGAGAAAAGAGAAAGAAAGAAAAGGAAAAGGAAGAGAAGGAAGAAAGGGAAGAAGGAAGAAAAGAGAAAAAGGAAGAAAGAGAAAAAAGAAGAAAAGAGAAGGAAGAAGAGAAAAGGAAGAAAAAGAAGGAAAAGAGAACAGAAGAAGAGTGAACAACAAGATAACTGACAGGCCTCCTGGTCACCTTCACGAGGAACAACACATTATAAAGTGGTCCTTGTACACATACACACACACACACACACACACACTTAACCCCCCCAAAGCACACACACACACACACATACGTCCAACAGAGTGGTTACTTGTTCCTTGTTACTCCCACGCCTACACTGCACCCATCAAGTAGGACGCCCATCCTTACCTCACCCATCCTCTACCCTCATTCACTCACTTCACTCTCACCTCACCCACTCATTCCACTCATTCATTCATTCATTCATCTCACCCATTCATTCACCCACTCGAACAAGGAAGGAAGAAGAAGAAGAAGAGGGCGAAGGAAGAAGAAAGAAGGAGGAAGAAGAACAAGAAGAACAAGAACTGACCTGTATCTATATTCTTGTTGCCATGGAGATGAGAATGACGCGGGAAGGTTTTATTAAGAATCAAAGGATCACATGAAGATTAACCCCCCCTAGTAGCTGAATTCTAGCCAAACTTACCTCTAAACTAACCTACGACTATCCTAACCTAATCTAGACTAACCTAAGCTATTCTAACCTATTCTATCCTAACCTAACCAAAACAGACCAACCCCCCCCACCCCCCACAAGGTAAAACGTAAGGGTGTTGACCTTAACCTGCCAACAGCATCATCCCTGGCTGGCAACAGTTGTCAGTCAGGCCTTCCCAACAAGACAAGGACAACAGATCGATATTAATAAGAATCAGGTTACCAAGCACGTAGCACTCACCGCGTCAGTACCCCCCCCTCTAAGCCGGGCTCTCGGCCCCCCTCCCCCAAGCGAACTCTCGACAAACGCACTCACGGGTCGAGAGCGCTAATTAAAAAGTGGGTCAAATTCGAGTCCCTAAGAATGGTAGTCTTAGTTCACTCTTAAAAAATATACATAATAATAAAATAAAGTTGTGTTCTGTTGGTGATAGCAATGACTCGAATTAGATCGGAATAAGATTAGTTTCAAGTTTATTTAATCTGATTATTAATACACCTTAACGCTAACGCCAAACTAACCTAACCTGACCTGACCTGACCTAATCCACCAGGTAGAGTTAGGGTGTTAAATTATCAGGTGAAATAAGATGGAGGTGGCTAATCTTCAGGTGATCCAATTATTATTTTACCACACACACACACACACACACCCTTCTGGCTGCCAAGCTCTTTCAATAAACCGTTAATTATTATTATTATTATTATTATTACACACACACCATTTAAGAAGTGACAAATGAGTAGCGAACACAGAGCCTTGTGGTGTGAGGGTATATATAAACACCTCCTTCCTTCCTTCCTTCCTACCTCCCCTCCCTCCTCTCCCTCCTTTCTTCCTTCCTTCCTTCCTTCCTTCCTTCCTCCCTTCCTACCTCCCCTCCCTCCCTCACCCCCACGATCCAGATAAGATAGGGGGAAGGTAGATGCCCAGGTAAGTGACCTACACTTCACTTTCCTTTACACTATCACCCACTACACTCGCCAACACCCGCCACCCACTACACTCGCCAACACCCACCACCCACTACACTCGCCACCCACTACACTCGCCACCCGCCACCCACACTACACTCATAACACCACCACCCACTACACTCATAACACCACCACCACTACACTCGCCAACACCCACTTACACCTACACTGCCACCCACTACACTCGCCAACACCCCACCACCCACTACACTCGCCAACACCCGCCCCACTACACTCGCCAACACCCGCCACCCACTACACTCGCCAACACCCGCCACCCACTACACTCGCCAACACCCACCACCCACTACACTCGCCACCCACTACACTCGCCACCCGCCACCCACCCACACCTACACACACTAACTCAATTAACTGTGAACTGGTGATAAATTTAACATAAACACGTTAATCATCTGAAATATTAACCACACCACTTAGGTTAGATTAGATTGTTTGGTTAGGTTAAGTTAGACTGTTTGGTTAGGTTAGGTAAGCTTGGTTAGGTTAGAATAGAGTTTTTTAGCGTTAGGGTGTTTAAATTAACAGGTGAAATAAACCAGTGGGGTGTCTAATCTTCAGGTAATCCACTAGAAAGACCTGATGACGCTTCTACATCACAGGTGTTGATCCTCGCCAAGTTCCCAAGACGGTAGAGAGACAGACCCATCCAACATGACTTACAACATCAACCCCAAAATATTTCTCTCCAGTTTCAAAATCTTTCATGGATGGAAAAGTGGAGTGGAGAAGTTCAAGAGGTGAGTACCCTGAGTTAGTGGGTGGGTGGGTGGGTGGGTGGGTTGGTGGACGGATGGGCGAATGGATTTAAAGAAAGAAAGAATGGTTCAATCGTTGGAGGGATGGACGGGACAAACTCTCTGCCCCAGGCCTACGGAGGGAACATAAAAATCTGCATAGCCTAAAGAAGGATAAGCGGGGCAGGTCACCTCTACCTGGCTGACGAAGGATACACTGAATTCCTAAGTGTGTGTGTGTGTGGGGGGGGAGGGGAGGGGGTCTGTCTGGTGCTTCGGGCGGTGACACTCCACTACCACCACTACACATCACCACCAACAGGATTCCACCACCACACTACAACCCTTACATCACCACAACACATCACTAACACCATCATGCACCACAGTGTCTCAAATTCCCACAGCACTATAAGATAAAGAGTCACTCAACACACTGACAGCAGCAGCAGCACCGTGATGACAGCAGACAGGTTACCACGCCCAGCCACACCTTCCAACTACATCATGTATGAGGTGACAGAACGATGCTATTTCTCTTTCCCTTCTTGTTATTCATCCTCCTCCTCCTCCTCCTGCTATTCCCTCCTCCTCCTGCCATCCTCCTCTTCCTCTAACTCCTACTCTTGTCCTCCCAACTTCTTCCTCCTGCCATCCTACTCCTCCACCTCTTGCCATCCTCTTCCCCCTCCTCCTCCTCCTCCTCCTCCCAGGCGCCTCAGGGAAGATTGGCCATGTCTTCATTTACACAAGAGAACACTCAGCCACCTCCCATGCAAAACACAACACAGTACCACACCACCCACCCACCCCCTCCTCCTGCCACTACCCACCACCCACCCACCCTCCTGCCACCCACCCTCCTCCTGCCACCCACCCTCCTCCTGCCACCCACCTGTGAGATAACCTAGGTGAGCGGGCGGCCGAGGTGACAACTAAAACTGCCGTCAGGTGGCCGCCCATCAATCGGATTCGTCTCAGTCTATCTGATAAATGATGGTTCCTGAAGCGGGGGTTAACTCTTAAGTTGTCAAGTGATTAACCTCTCTGTGTGTGTGTGTGTGCGTGTGTGTGTGTGTGTGTGTGTGTGTGTGTGTAAAATCAGGTTATATTTACACGTACACCAGAACACAACTTTTTTTTTTTACCCTACCCCACTTCCCTACCACCTCCCTCCCTCTCACCCTCCCTCTCACCCCTCTCACTGGCACTTCCTCGCCTACTGTGCCATATAACCATGCCACAGGGAGGAGGAGAGTCATGAGAGGAGGAGGAAGAGAGGGAAGGGGGAGGAGAGACGAGGAGGAAGGAGGAAGAGACGCAAAAAGAGGAGGAAGGGTAAAGAAAAGGACAAGGATGAAGGGGTAAGAGGAGGAAGAGACAAAAGACGGAGGAAGATGAAGAGCGAGAAGAATAAAGGGAAGGAAGAGAAGACCTACGAGGAGAAAGGGGAGAAGAGGAGAAAGAGGACGAAAAAGGAAGAGGAAAAGAAAGGAAGAGGAAAAGAAAGGAAGAACAAAAGGAAAGGGAGAAAGGGGGGAGGAGAGGGGGAAATAGGGTTGAAAGGGCAATGACCCGGGGCAAGGAACAACACAAGGAACCACCAATTACAATTGCACATTTAGGCTTCCTTGTCTCTGGTTGGAAGGGAATTGGGTTTATTACGTCACGATCCCGAGAACAAACAAACTACTTTCGTTTTGGGTGTGGCTGTGTCTGTGGAAGAGAGAGAGAGAGAGGTGTGTGTGTGTGTGTGTGTGTGTGTGTGTGTGTCTGTGTGTGTGTGTGTGTGTGTGTGTGTGTGTGTGTGTGTGTGTATATGTGTGTGTGTGTGTGTGTATATGTGTGTGTGTGTGTGTGTGTATATGTGTGTGTGTGTGTGTGTGTGTGTGTGTGTAATAGGTCACAGATCATACACAAAGGTGTGTCTCGAGTTACCTGCCCGAAGAGTGCGGGGAGATATGATAGAAGTATTTAAGTGGGTGAAAGGAATCAATAAAGGGGATATAGATAAGGTTCTTATGATATCCGAGCAGGATAGGACTCGTAGCAACGGATTTAAGTTGGATAAGTTTAGGTTTAGGAGGGAGATAGGAAGGAACTGGTTCACAAATAGGGTGGTAGACGAGTGGAACAAGCTTAGCAACTATGTAGTAAGTGCTGGAACCCTGGAAAGCTTTAAAAGGAGGCTAGATAGATTCATGGATGATAGAGAGTGGTAGTAACTCTCGACAGGGGCTGCCATGCACAGGCCAACCAGCCTATTGCAGACTCCTTATTTTCTTATGTTCTTATGTAACTCACGGTGTACCGCAGGAGACACTCATGTACCGTTCGTCTATAGGCTAAACCTGTATAGTGATGCGGTACTAACACGGTACGTACCTCTGGCGTGACAAAGATACAATAGTAATATGGCATGTGTACCTTTTGAGGGGTACATTGGTAATATGGTACGTACCTGGTATAATAGTATGGTACGTACCCCTGGCGGGGCTGCGGGGGGAGGGTGGTGGGTTGTCATCACTAACGGAGGAGGAGTAGGAGGAGCGCTGGTCGCCGGCACTGTAGACCCCAGAGCTGAAGGAGGAGCCTGAGTGACGGTGAGTGACGCCCCCAGCAGAGTCCGGCACTGTAGGAGGCGATACCTTCACCGCCGCCGTCGGCTTACCACGCCCACTCATCCCGCCCACTGGAAAATAAAAAAAAGACATTTTATTTCAATAATCTCAAAGGTATGAACGAACGAACGAACGAACGAACGAACACACACACACATATTATTGAGGCAGTGTTACCAGAGTATAAACAGAGAGAGATAAACAGTCATTAAACACCACACTGAGGCGGGGCATAACAACACAAAGATGGTCAAAGCAACACAAAGAAACACATTATTAAAACAACACAAAGGAACACATTACTTAGGGGTAGAGTTTACACACTACAACACCACACACTCCACACACTACACCACACTCACCACACACTCCACACACTACACCACACCCTCACCACACACTCACACTTAGCGTAAACACCACAACAAACCTGACCCATTATCCATCACACTGGATAACCTCAGGGGAGTCAGCACCCTGGGACGTAAACATGGGGGGTTAAAATATAAGCATTTTTTTTTAACCCACATCACAAGGAAGCGTTTATTTAATCTTGTTACCGGGCGAATACCAAGGTCAGATGAAGCCCCCCCCCACCCCCTCCCCTTCCTCTCTCTTTGACAACTTTGTTTGTGTGTGTGTGTGTGTGTGTGTGTGTGTGTTACCTGTTCCCCCATCCCATCTTTCCTTTATCTCCTCCTCCTCTTTGTCCTTTCTCTACTCCCCATCTCCCCCTTTCCCTTCACCATCTCTTCCCCTCTCCGTAATCCCTACCTCCCCTCCTTCTTCCTCTCCTTCTTCCTTCCCTCCCCCAACCCCCACTTCCCTCCCTCCTGTAATCCCCCACCACACACACCTAAGACAGGCCTCACTGTTGGACGTGAATCATCCCATTAATAAAATATTCAGCTTACAGTCTGCTTACAGTCATCTTGCGGATCACCTGAAGATTAGACACCCCCCAGTTTATTCCACCTAATGGTATGGTTGGGTTGGGGTGGGGTGGGGTGGGGTGGGGTTGGGGTGGGAGTAGGGAGTGGAGTTGGGTTGGGAGTAGAGGTTGGGTTGGGGAGGTGGGGTGGGGTTGAGGTGAGGTGGGGGTTGAGGTGGGGTGGGGTGAGGGGTTGGGGAATTGGGGTGGGTGGGGTTAATTGGGGTTGGGTTGGGTTGGGGTGGGGTTGGGGTGGGGTGGGGTGGGGGTGGGGTTGGGTTGGTCTGAATATTTTTTTGAGGTCGGGTTGGGGTTGGGTTGGTCTGAATATTTTTTTTCTAAGTCACACATTCAAGTCAAGAAAGGCGTTCATAGAGCTAACTAACGCAGAAAAAAATAGAAGGTTTTCTCTGGTATTAACGAATTTTGTTTCTAGTTTGGTATTATCTTCTTTATTACTATTTCTTCTTCTTCTTCTTCTTCTTCTTCTTCCTCTTCTTCAAGCACTTCATCGTCTCTTATCAGCTTAGGTTCAAAGCCCCTCTTATCCTGACCCTCTTTTCCTCCTCCTCCTCACCACCCCCTACCCCTAACCACCTATCCTCCCTCCCCCTACCCTAACCACACCCTATCCTCTCTCCACACCTCCCTACCCCCCCCCCCTCATACGGTCCAGAACAGTGACATTTGACATCCACCGGACCGCCAGCCACCCCACCCCTGGGCTTTCCCTCTTGTGTATCTAGATATATTTCCTCCTCCTCCAGTACATCCTCCCACCTTCCTCCTCCAGTGCATCCCACCTTCCTCCTCCTCCCAGTACATCCTCCACCTTCCTCCTCCTCCAGTACATCCTCCCACCTTCCTCCTCCTCCAGTACATCCTCCACCTTCCTCCTCCTCCAGGCACATCCTCCCACCTTCCTCCTCCTCCCCGGTACATCCTCCACCTTCTCCTCCTCAGTACATCCTCCACACCTTCTCCTCCTCCTCCCGGTACAGCCTCCCACCTTCCTCCTCCTCCATTCAAGCCTCCCACCTTCCTCCTCCTCCTCCCATTGTCTCCCACCTTCCTCCTCCTCCCAGTACATCCTCCCACCTTCCTCCTCCTCCCATTACATTACTATACCATTATCCAGTAGTAATACCTCCAGAGAGATAATGAATGAAAAACTGAGTGGTGAGTAGTGACTCTCCATTACCCCCCCTCCTTCTCCTACCCTCCACCTGAGATATACGCCTTCCCTCCTCCCCCCCTCTTCTCCTACCCTCCACCTGAGATATATACTTCCCTCCTCCCCCCCTCCTTCCCTACCCTCCACCCCTGGGGTCTGCCTTCCCTCCTCACCCCTCTTCTCCTACCCTCCACCTGAGATATATACGCCTCCCCCCCCCTCTACGTAGAAGAGTCTCGTCTGAAGGTGATTCTCAGGACTCATTTGTAACCCAAGATCAACTGGTATTGTCTATTGTCTTTGTTGGTCTTTATTCCTGTTTTTATGTCCACTATTTCACAACATTTATCACACACATCTCTCTCTCTCTCTCTCTCTCTCTCTCTCTCTCTCTCTCTCTCTCTCTCTCTCTCGTTCACCTTCACTATCACCACCACTTAATCTACGTTAATCTCAAGTCCCTTCCATCTCTCAAACAAACGGTAAGTTAAGTCCTTCTCCTCAGACACCCTCTTTCACAACTGTTCTAGATTGTGTTTATTTCCCGCCTCCACTCCCCTCCCTTCTACCCTCCCCTCTCCCCCTCCTACATCTCCCCTACCCTCCACATCTCCCCACCCTCCTACCCCCCTACATCTCCCTCCCTCCTCTTCTACCCCTACCCCTCCTCCATCTCCCCCTATTCCTGCTTTGTCCCACAGTTCTGCTTAATCACCGTCAAGTTGCATCATTTTCCTCTTCATCTTTCTTCCTTCTCCTATCTCTCTCTCTCTCTCCTCTGTCCATTCCCTGCCTGTCCCTTTCTGCTCCTACCCTTCCATCCATTCTTCTCTCTCCCCTTTCCCTCTATGCTTCTCTCCATCGGTCTATTCCTTCCTTCCTCCCTCCCTTACCCCTTTCTACGTCAATCTCCCCTCCTTCCTCTCCCCTCCTCTATATCTCCTCCCTCCATCTCCCCTCCCTTCCTCCCCCTCCCTCTATATCTCCTCTCCCTCTCTCTCTCAAACTGACAACACGGCCTTCTGCAACCACGACTCATACAAATGTCAGCCGGCGAGGAACGGACAACACCCCAGGACCCACATCCTTGGTAGGGTAGGATAGGATAGGGTTGGGTTTGGATACATTTAACTCTCTCTCTCTCTCTCTCTCTCTCTCTCTCTCTCTCTCTCTCTCTCTCTCTTCCTAATCCTCCACCTCCCTTCTAAGTGGGTGAGGACAGGAGGCACAGCAGCGTCAACACTAACTCATCCCCACAAACACCCAGCCAACTACTACTATGGTGTGGGCTGACGGAGGGGCGGGGGGCTGGACGTTGAAGGGAGGAGGTATGTAGCTGACATTGTAACCATTACCCCTGCTCTCTCTCACTAGCTGAAGCCGTCTCTGACTTTCCTAACGAAGGTAAAAGCTTTAATGATATGTTAATTACGTCATGACACCCACCAAACACAACAGGGGTCATCTCCCCCCACCCCCACAGCCGCTGCCATCCCCCTTAGCCACTAACATTCTATTCATCATCATCATCATCATCATCATCATCATCATCATCCGTTAATATTGACACTCGCTTAATAATTATCATCATTCTTTGCACACACCAATACCAGTTTCATCATTATCATCATCACCATCATCACCCAACACATCAAAATTAACCAAAGACTCTTAACTTAAATACTTTCTCTCAAAATCAATTAAGAGAGAAACGTAAAAAAATAAGAATCTTCGTTAATCCCTCCAACCAGGTGAGCCAGGCCAGGTAAGCCAAGCCAGGTGAGCCAAGCCAGGTGAGCCAGGTAAGGTAATATCTTCCCTGGGTCACGCTTTACCTCCATCCATCAAAATTAATTATAATCCCATGAATAAAAAAAATCCTCTTAAATGCCAATATAACTGTACTGTAGTGGGGTTGGGGTGGGTTGGGGTTGGGGGTGGGTTGGGGTTATGGAGGGTGGGTTGGGGTTATGGAGGGTGAGGTGGTGTTAGATGGGGTGGGTTGGGGTTATGGAGGTGGGTTAGGTTATGGAGGTGGGTTGGGGTTATGGAGGGTGGGTTGGGGTTATGGAGGTGGGTTGGGGTTATGGAGGTGAGTTGGGGTTATGGAGGGTGGGTTGGGGTTATGGAGGGTGGGTTGGGGTTATGGAGGGGTGAGGTGGTGTTAGGGTGGGTGGGTTGGGGTTATGGAGGGTGGTGGGGTTATGGAGGGTGAGGTGGTGTTGGGTGGGGGGGGGGGGTTGGACAGGTGGGCTGGGGAGCTCCACCTCCCAAAGCCTCGGTGTGCTCCAGCAGTGTGCTACGTGAGGAGGCATATTAACCTTGGTAAACCTCAGGTGAACTCTCAGGTAAATTTATGGTAAACTTCTCCAGGTGAACGAGGCGTAAATTTTAGGTGATCTAGCCTTTACCATAATATATAGGGACATAGCAAGTAAACCATAGATAAACTTGACAAATTATAGGGAAAATCAATGTAAACTAATAACAATTACAGGTAAACTAGACAAATTACAGGTAAACTCAAGGTAAACCAGACAAATTATAGGTAAACTCAATTTAAATTAGAGCCAAAACTACAGGTAAACTCAAGGTAAACCAGAACAAAAATTACAGGTAAATTCAAGGTAAATTAGACCATTTACAGGTAAACTCAAGGTAAACCAGAACAAAAATTACAGGTAAATTCAAGGTAAATTAGGGCCAAATTTACAGGTAAACTCAAGAGCAAAAATTACAGGTAAACTCAACGGTAAATTAGAGCCAAAACTACAGGTACACTTTTTTGTAAACTAATGATAAAAATACAGTACAGGTAAACTCAAGGTAAACCCAATTCCTGAGCGACAAAAGTTGGGTCCCAATCACCACTAAAATTTGTCACTCATTTGCATATTAATTTACATAGTCGGTCATTTATGGAATGTTTGGGTCAACATAACATCTGTAAATATTTTGTGCACTTT